CGCGAGGGATGAATAAAGATCTACAGGAGATAATTTGGAGAACTAAAGGTTTAAAAATGGGTAATATAAGTGTCTAAAGGGTCTAAAGGTACGAGCAAATACTAGTGGTGACTAAAGGTGCTAAAGGTAACTAGAGGTGACTACAGGTGACCAGAGGTGATCCGAAGGTGGTGGTTGTGACAGAAGACTAAGCGTGAAGAACTCTATAGCTACAGGCCAAGCCATCGTACATATACTTGCTTTCCTCCCACTAGCTCATCATAACATAGGCCCTAAACTAGTACCAACATAATAACCAGTGCCGAGAACTGTTCTGTTGTCATAGCAACATTAGGAGAAGGGTAAAATTATAAACTAAAGTTAGGATGGGAAGGAGAATCCTCACATGAGGCCTAGACACCGGGACCACACGAGGTGCGCATATTTATCTATATCTCCCTTCTTTGAAACAGTCGAGGTCGACTTGATCCAATCCACTATCTCCATATTGGATGCTGGGTACGCTCCGGAAACTCATTGGATGGCATTTCCTCGATGATTATGGGTTGGTGATGAGAAGGGCTTTGACTCAACGTCTGATCTGATTGTGGTTAGCTTCATGATAATGGTGATAGGGGAAAGTGTTGAAAGATGAAGACGATACAGACAGCGTAAGCAATTGGGAATCCTCATCAAAGTGAGGACTTTGCTACTCAAACTCGGCTTTGCAGAGTCTACAGTGAGAGCTGGAGGTTTTTTTTTTTTTGCATCAGATTTGAATTGCGTATGCAGCTATCTAGCTATGACACAATATCGGAGAAAAGTACAGAATAGATTATTCAACGTAAAGGAAGAGCACTCATGCCTCAGATTTCATTTGCAAGTACCACTGCGAAGTTATGGCGGCTTTTTCTTCACCCCCAGTTAACCCTCATCCGTGAATACCCACCCAGGGGAACGTCTCAAAAACCCTGAGTTATCCAGACATGCCTCCATCATCCATCAAATTCCCTCCGCGCGTAATGTGGTTTTAGGTGTCTCCTTTCCAAGTGAATTAGGTCTCCAGGCTACTCAGACTTTACCGGAGAACAACACCTTCCATCGTTTGCTTGTCTTTATAATGTGAGCTACACTCTCGCAAGCGAAGTCTTGGCACGCACAAAGCTCGATTTGTAAAAACTCCTTGCCAAAATCCGAGATTTCACGCCTGTAGAGGTTATATCCTTCCTTTGCATCATCTTGTAAACTTGTCCTAATCCCTCTCAAGTCCATCCCAAATATTTATCTCCCAGATTTGTGCTCCACGCTTTGCTTCCTCCATCGGGTATAAATATCGGCGTGGGCGTGTATTTGGTGGTCAACTGAGGCCAGAGAAGGTCGGAGAGAGGTATAGTCATTGGGATGAGGATGTACTATGTCGTACTTGTAGAGTTGATGAAGCTTAGTTGAGAATCGGACTCTTTGGGAGTGAAAGGTTGACATGGTGGTGTAATTTGAATTTTTGCCTCGTGGGCCAACTTCTTTGATATTGCGAAATTTGACTGAACTTGGCTCTGGGAGAATATTTCACTCCCAGGTTTGTAGAGGACACTGCGCACAGGCGTTCAGTCTTGCCCTCCGAGCTGGAGGTTTGTAGGGACACCACTGACTGGTGTTGAGAATTGTCCCCCTGGTTGTGATTATTGTTCACAGCTATACATATAATTCGTTATCTTTCTAGTGTCATAGCTAGTTAGGCTGCATACACTCAATGATTTAAATAAAAAAAATCGTTATCTTAATGTGGCGCTTTGAGGCCCATGCAGGTTTTTACAAGGAGAAATGTACTTATAGTATGATGACACAATTTATAGTTTAGGACACTCACATTCAGATTCCATTTGCAGGTACCACTCGAGAGTAGCCCTTTCGGAGCACAACCTCTTCTGTTCATACCCACAACGGGGAAAAGCGTGAACAACCTGTGGCTATCCGAGTTTGCTTTCAACGTCCAACAAGCACAATAACGAGGCTAGAGAGAGGAGTGTGTAGGGCGAACTGGGTTTGAACCAGCCTACGTCATTCCCTAAGAGGAGAAGGAGTGCAAGCTTCCCAGGTCTTGCTCGGGAGAACGACCCGGATGGTGTACCACTGTGCCATCCAATCCAGTTTTCAACTATCAAGGGAAACTGTTCATTAAACCCTCAAAGTATCAAAGCGCTATTTATACTAATTACTACATCTAAGTAAAGGACACGATTCACTTGTTTATGCTAAATAGTTGGGAGGCTGGTCAATGTATGAGTTGTCATGAATGTGACTAGTAATATTCGAACCTTATTAGGTTCCATGTTAATGTGACTCTTCATTGCCATGTAGCGCCAATTTCAACAATAAACACATATTTTATTGATCTCTACATCAAATGATGTAGATTGTCTAGATATCTGAGTAATTTCAAATCATAACAATTGACAGTTAAAGTTGGCATGATGCACTAGGTTATTGAAGTGAGCTTTGAGACAAAGTCCATGTGTTTCGGGGAACGAGATTAGTTTAGATCTGTAAAGTCCCTACTAAGTCTATCACTAAGGAGGACCTGAGAATCTAACTAAAGACTCCAATTACATTTGAAAATTTTAAAATTGCATATGCCAAAATCTGCTCTTAAAGAATTGTTCGTTAAGCTCCGACAGCCGAAGGCTCTGGGAAGCTATACTTTCCACGGGACACCCCAGCAGTGACTCCACGTAGTCGAGAAAATGAAGCTGGATCTGGAAGTTTCATGGATAAGCGTAATGGAAGCAAGAGTTGTGTCTCTTGGGGAGTTCCAAGCCAAAACACAACTCAGTGTTAGATTGAGTTCCTAAACTATTAGGATAGACTCAGGAATAAAATAGAATTAAATTTAAGTCTCTACTGAGTCTATGACTATGAAGGACAGACAGACTCAGGAACATAGGGTCGCTTCATAGGAATTGAGCAATAAAACTGTTCAAGACAGTGCTTAGGGCTGTCCTATTATCTGATGTACATATATACCCAGCGTGAAGGATTATTCTTCTTCACGCAACGTCTCCTGTTTACGCTGGTACCTATTGTTCACATATTTATCTTTTCTCTAAAGAAGACCGCCGTTATTGTACTTACCTCACCTATTACTCACTTTACCTTTACCTCTTCTGTGAACCCTATACCTTCCGCTGACATTATACTTCCTACTCATCGGAATCACCACTTTACTCCACACCTATACCCTACCTGTACCCTACTTGTACCCTACTCGTACCCTACGGAATACCGATAGCACAGTGCCTTGAGAGGATGCATAAAGCGATTGTTAGCTTCCCTTCTAGCCAACACAGTCTGCGCTTTCTTTGATGGATCATCAGCGTGTTCCGGACAATCGGCCTGGAGGTTTGTAGTATACCAAGAAGGTAAGCTTGTTGGGAGTGGTTCCGGTCCACTTTCAGTAGCAGAGGTATTCGTCGCGGAAGTTGTAGGCGCTACGAAAGCTATGGAGACTGCAGTCGTTGTTGGAGAAGGCTTTCCAATCTACACTCTTCTAGACAACCAAGAGGCCACCTGAGCGCTTAACCGAGGAAGAGCTAATTCCCCGCAGGCATTGCTGGACAAGTTTTCATCGTTGAAATATAATAAGCGTGTGGAAATACGCTGGATACCTGCTCATGTGGGTATCCAAGGCAATGAAGTGGCCGATAAGCTGTCCAAATCAGCCTTAGGAGCTCCCAATAACCGGTCAATTACCTCAGCTGCGCCCAGTGGAGAAGATCAAGATCTAACCTTTGAGGCATTAAAGAGGTGAGCTAAACGGCGCGGCCAAGAGCTCGAGGAAAAATGGTGGCAAAAGTATAGACCTAAGCGATACAAAGATCTGGCCCTCTTCATGCGTTGCAAAAGACCACCGAAACCAGCTTTACCAAGATGGGTGTACCATCGTCTTATTGCGGCAAGAACAGGCCATGGGGGCTACGCCGACTACCATCGACTTTTCAACCCCGAACTTAAAGATTTGGAATGCGTTTGCGGCCGAGAGAAGAGGCCCTGGCATTTTTCAGAGTGCCGACCTGCTTTGCAACGTTGGAGGAGCTATGACAAAATGGCTCCACCTGGGGCCAGGGAAATGATAGGGGAGAAGGGATGGCAGAAGTTCATTCAATTCTTAACTACAAGCAGATGTTACAGTCTGCCGAAGAAAGATCAGGGTGGGAGGTGACCACGCTGAAATTGTTTCTGACCCGAGAGAAGATAGGTGTGGAATGTAGGGATGCGGCGCAGGGCATCGTGACTCAGACATTTACTGTTCATTTTTTTCATTCTTCTCTTTTATCGCTTCTGGCTCCACTGCCGGTCATGTAGGTAGCAATGAGCTCTCAGAGCCCATCTACCCGTGTCACGTCTAACTAGATGTTGGGTTCTTCCTGTCACGTAAAAGATTTCAAAATCAAATTTAAATTCTGCTCTTGTAGATATCTAGGGTTGTGCCCTATTATTTTCCATGGAAGTTAACCTGATATAGCTCAGATCACTTTTGCTCAAGCTCCTGAAGGAGGGTTAATCTTGACAGCTACCTGGCTCGTTTACAAACACACAGACAATCGACTGTATTTTGAGAAGCCAACAGCGAGAAGTGAGAAATAATCATGACTGCCAAGTGCAATGAAGTAAATAACTGAAAGTCTTGTGTGTTATAGTGACTTACTTTAAAGCCTCAAATATTCTTCTGATCAATCCATAGAAAAGTATCGAGTCAACCGAAGAATTCGCTCAGATTTTAGTATAGTTTATGATTATGTTTGATCTAATTTATTGTTATCTTGAAATTCTACTGCTTGCAAACAATTCTTTATAAAATTCCAAAAGAGTTGAAACAGTCTGACTTCCTTGAACGTGAAGGATCGTTTGGGGAAACTTTCAATTTTCACCAAAAAGCCCCTTATTAAGATTAATTGTTCCTGAACTTAGTGAAGAGCCGTATCTGTATGTAAGGTACAGAGAATTTTATTGTTTGGCTTTTTTCGTTAAGGATCATCTTCTTCATTTCTATTCTTCGTTTTTGGGGTGTTAAGACCTCCAGTTCCACCTCGATGAATTAGGCCCTCAAAAAATGATGCAAGTGCATCATTTTGAGAGGAATTAGAGAGGATGCTTGGAGTCGATGAGTCTTGGGGCGGGTGGTTCCGACGTTCCTAATATTCCATGTTTAGTATAAATAGTGACAGTGTTCAATTAACCAACCTTTAAGCGTTGAATCATGTCATCCGCATCGACTTGAATCCCCCCCATATTAAACTGTACAGGGCCTATGTGTTCACGAACTCGTGCTGTTTCTTCTTGGTATTCAATATTTTCAGTCGTTTCCAGTGATTGTTGTGTGCCTGATGCTGAATAGATACGGTCTGAGATAGAGGACGTTGTGTTGATCCTCATCTTTTCAAGGACTTCAAGTTGTGAAGCTAAGAATTCTTGGGTGTTTTGACTGCTTACTTCAAGATTAATTCCGACGTTATCGGTGACACTAGCTTGAAGAGTGTCCAATGATGGATCTCGTATTACTTTTTCGTAAGCATGAACAGCCCCTTGGCCACTTGCAGATTCTTCATCTTCCTCCTTATCATCGTTGCCAAGCAATCCAGTTATTGCAACCTTGTGTTTTATATCGGTGTCAATCGACCAGCCATTACTTATAGCTTCTATGTCAAAGCCGTCTTTCAGAATCCTAATCTTACCCCAAGAATCCCAGTTCGGCGGGACGAGAATTTTATCCCGGTCGACAATGTTATATTTGAGAGGAATAGGCTTGAGGAGAGAGTGAATTCCCAAAGATGAGTGTATCAGGCTTTGAAGAGGGTTTATTGTTGAAGGCGTTGTATATATGAGTGATGCGCCATCTAATAAATTTTAGTTCCACAAGCCGTTGCTCAATTTTTGTGTAGTAACCTACGTTTCAGGAGGATGGTTCTTAAGAATTGTAATATAAAGTCGAACTCATCTTCTCCCCAGCTGCGTTCTTTTTCGAGCAACTTGACGCGATCGGACTTATTTTAGTGTTAGTCTTCATCAAACTATGTGAGATACTTTCGAACATTTTGACAAACCACACACAAGGGAACTCCTAGGGCTTCTTCCCACTCCCCTGATCCTAGCGGAAGGTATAGATCATCTTTGGAGGCGGCACTGTTATCTGGATTTTCATTAACATTTCCGACGCGCCCTTTATTCCGCCACATCGCCATAACGTCTTCCATAGCCTTCAATGTATCTGGTTCAAGTGAAATTATGAGTTCCCGTAAAAGACATATCCAGGCCTGTAGTCGTCTAATCCAAAACCAGGGTTCGGCCCAGTCTAATAACACCACTATTAAAGTATTTGGAATGGTTCTAGAATTAAGAAGAGGCTGTAGTAATGGCATAAAAGATGGCGATGGATCAGACAGGAGAAATACAGAGATACGCGCGAGGGCATCTGTAGAAACTAAGCTCGTTACATGAAATTACTGGTGATGCTATTTACCCTCGAGGTCTGCGTCTAAAACATCGTAATATGTATATCCTAGAGCAAATTCGTTTGCTATTGGGGGTTTCTTGTGACTCCGATTCCCTTGTGTCGCCTTGGTCTCTTGAACAGATAAACTTTCAAGGAAATCTCTCTGGCTAAGAGGAGTACCACCTAGCCTAGGTTAGCTTCAGCCTCAACCTTTGATCGGAATCCGATACCAAGTACTATTATCTGTTTTTCCGGTAGCTTTTTACCACTGGATACATCATCCAGCATAGCAGACCATATACATGTTTTGTGTTCCGACTGAATAGTAGTTTCATGTTCTTCTGGCGTAGAGATGTCGTTCTGAGTATTGGAATTGGTGAGCGCACCCGTCATTACAGATTTTGGTTTTCTAAAATGAAAATATTTGACAGACGTTTGACAATTTTATTACATTAAGAGATGTCATCGATTTGTTTATCTCCATGGTCATGTCGTTCTCAGCCGATAACGGCTATATTTAGCATTATTAGCTGCTCGTCTCCATCAAAAAAGCTAGCGGTATTTCAAAGCTCGTGCCAGCGAGGGAATGATTCATCATTCAGTGATGTCAGTGTCAACAGTCGGTAAGTTCTGCATATCTGCTAAAGCCAAGGATTATCCCATCCGAATCGGACTTGAGAGTAACCTTGTGCATCATTAAAATCAATCACTCCTCAGCAAAGTCGGTCTCACCATTCACACATAAATTCTCAAACCTTATTTCAATGTAAACCATCTCGTCTTGCCTGCAAAGACCAATTCTTCGCCTTCCAGTGGTGCCGATGTAATCACTCAGTATGCCCTGCATATCTGGGATAGCCAAGAAGAATCGCATCCGAATCGAAGTCGAAAGCAACCTCAAGCATATCTCCATTTGATGACTTCTCGACAATGCCTCTCTTATCATTTTCATCTCAGTCCTCAAACTCTTTCTTACCACGCATCATCTCACCTCAACAACTAATAAAGAAGTTGCTCCAAGTCAAAACAGGAGCTTGCCCTATTAATTTCCAGTCATCTCTCACTATATATTTACGACGCTATTTATACTCTCAAGGAGGAAATAAATTCGAAGAATACAAAGCCTGGGTCTTGGCCTATTGGGGACTGTTGCTCTAATGGGATAACAACTTGAGGGAGAATAGGCGCCTGATATGTGAAGCAAGAGGGGGAACAGGTCTTTCAAGATCATGCTAGAACTGATATTTTTGAGGAGTTTTCAATTTTGGAGTTTTTGTGGGCGCCACGACCAAGATGTCGCCTAATTAGTCAGGAGGGCTTCTTTGTCGATGAGTCAACGGCACTCCCCAGCGCCCTGGACGGCACAAAAGAAGTTGGGCTAAGCTACCATACAGCAATAACGCTCTGTCAAGACTTTTCTGACATTTCAGCACGACCTTCGGGAAGTAGTTGGAAGGAGGCTAGAAAGGCAGAGTGTGAAGTTCCTGAGGTATTCACAAGTCTGCAGTGCTCAGCTGGCCGACCTCTCCGAAAGCTTCAGAAGGATCACAATGTCTTTGGATTTAGTCCTAACGTCGGTATTAGAAGAGCCCCACACCCAGCGGTTTTTCCAATTTCTCCTGGCTGCTATACACGCGTAAATGGCCATCGTTTCGTTGGTTGGAGAGTGGAGATGATGAAGGGCAAAGGGCTCTAAGTTTACGATCAAATGAGGACTAGTGAGGGGAGGTACTTTCTGACAGGAGCTGCATGTGAGTCATAGGAGGAGGTAAACTATTCGCATAGATATCCTCGGCCTGTAGGCAGAGAGGACCTGCATGTCCTACATAGTCATAGACTCAGATAGGACAGTAAAATGAATTAAAAAAGTTTCCACTCCGAAACATGTTGGCACACACTTTGGCTAGATCCTGTTAGAGACAGTTTCGGGATACACAAGTCCAACGAAGATTTATGGCTTGGAAATACTCAAACATCAGACCTACCGTGTCTTCCCTGACGATTACAGAACTTACGACTGTTTAAATGATTTGATTGTTGTCAAGCCTTTTAAGCTGGTTTGAAAACTCTAGTGACCAAGAGTGAAAGTATTTGAAGAAATAGCTCGTACTGGGGCTATCAATTAAATGGTGAACAAACAGATGTAATTGTCTCATTCCTACTTCTTCCTATCCTCTCTCTGTTTTGGTTTGAATGATATTTCAGCTTAGTTAGATACATAAGACTAATCTTGAGAATTCTTACAATAATGCTGCATGGGGGGGGGAGACAAAGCTAAACGAAAGGCCAATACGAATGAGGAGGTCGAAGCGTTGTTACAACTAAATAAAAGCTGGCAATGATTTGCTGGGTAGCAAGTATTTTGCCTAAAGATAGTTAATCAGTCTTTAGATTCATGAAGGGGAAAATTCTTATAAATACTAGTTGCAGCTAGAGTTCTCTTGTCTCATATATTTTGATAAATCGATTTTTATAATCATTTGTAGTGGATCTAGCACACACTGGCCATACCACACTTAACTGCCCATGAATGAGTAAAATGACAAATTACGGCTCTCACTCATAATCGTATTCTCCTGATGCATCTCTCCACACATTTGATGCATAGCAAAACCTACTCTCGCCCTCCACCTCGCAAGGTGAGCCGGTGTGATGGGATATCACCGAAACAATAAGTACAAAGCAAGCTGGCTGTAATACAGTCTATTTTCTAATTATCTAGGAAATGGTATCTATCTAGGCTTTAGGACACATGTACATGTAGCTCTGACCCCAGAGAGGTTAATGTCCATCGGATTAGTGATCATCCGCATTCTTGATGTAATCTATCAAAAATTTATGCTTTTCAGATCAGTGATCACTTATAATCCCATGAACAAAAATTGGCGATTAGTATATAGATAGGCACAGGTACATGGCTATAAGGCGCAGCCTATAACAGCCGGGCATTTGGACTCTGGCTCTTGTGGGAGCAGCCATGCTTCCTCTCGCAATTTTCTACTACTGCCGCGTCCATTTACGTGGTGGTCAAGAAACTCTCACTCTCCAAACATCCTTCCGTTCCGTTCTCACAATCAACCTCATTCCAACTTAGCTCATCGAGTCGTTCTATCCTGTCTTGATCCTCCCCCTGTTCCAAGACTCTTTTAGTCACTTCTGTTTCCTCCAGAAACTTTAGCAATCCGGCTGTTGCCTTTCTATCTGCAAAGATTAGAGCTATTCTCCTTTCATTATTAGTGGAAAATTTATCTTCTCTCATCTGCTTCCACATCTTGTTTCTGTTAGAGTACAGAGAGAACAGAGAAGAAGTCCAGTTTGCTGAATTGACTAACAGACTACAGGTATTATGATATATACAGTGGAATTACAAGGAAGAAAGGCTATCCGGAACCGACTCGACTGCAGAAATAAGTGAGGTCCCAGACCAGAAAAGAATTATCCACTGACTCAGAATACTGGGTCATGCAATAGAAAATACAAGCAAGGCAATTACTGGATTTCTTCAGGAAGATTGGGATTCATGCAGACTCAAACATTGAGTCTGCCTGGATCAGAAGTATGGGCTCCTGCCTGAACTCAGAAATATAGTTCAGGCAAGATGCATGCAACTTTATTGGTCGATAAAAGGAATTGCAGGAAGCTGTATTTCAAGCAGCTTCACTCGTTGCTCCATCTTCGGCAGTCTAGCACTAGATATCTGACTGTTTGTTATTCATACTGGCCGCACTAGTCTCACTTATCGTCCTCTCGTTTCTCCATACAATAGGATTGCGCAGCTGTGATGGCATGGTTTGATTCTAATTGAAAATACCGACAAGCTAGAGCTTTGAGGGACTTAAATGCAGGTACACCAAATGAACCTTTTTCAAGATCCAGTCTATGAGTGTTCCTGGATGCTTGATTTCTCTGTCAATATTCTGCTGTGAACCATTAGCGGCATTCTGTCCATGTTGTTTTGGTCACAGTCCTAGCAACGTATGCTACGGACGTGAATTCCTCAACACATTGCCATACGTTCCTTGTTGCATCTTTGTCAGCTTAGCCTGCCTTTCTCTTGCCTTCAATACTCATGTTTCAGGTAACTAGGAGCCTGACCTGTGACAGGCAAAGTGTATGTAATTAAAGTAAAAGATAACTCAGTAAAAACCAATTTATTCCTATTTCTCCCAGAATTCTAGGACAACATACGCTGATCATGATTGACTTGATCTCTAAATATAGATATGCGCTAGGAATAGAATAAACTGCAGTTTTAAATACAGAATACAAGCACTGACCGAAGTAAATAACCCATGTATGTATGGACAGTCCCTATTTTTGACCCGAGACATTTTCCTGTCCAGCTTCTTTGGTAGTTATTCTTAGCCTTTGGCACCATGTGCCTAGAGACCTAGTGCGCCTGGTCAGCAACATTTTGTTCTTGCAGATTGCGTGTTTGGTCATGGATTTGTCGTGAAATACACTACGTAGATCCAGGTTTGAGGTATCTGATGCGAGAAATGGCGGGTTTAGAATCAAGCCAGGCACTTACTGTGCTAACATTTTCTAGGAGGGTCTCTTCAGTTTTTGTTCCTGCTCGAACACTTGGGTTACCCACTGTCTAAATATGTAAACCATAATGTGAAGGATAACTTGGTGGGGCTGCCTAATCAGGTATGGCGTAATAGAAAATAATCAATGAATATGTAAGTAGTCTCTTGGTATAGAAAGAATAGGAATGATCTAAGAACCACCCATATTGTTGCGACCAGCTTGTGATTAAATTACTCTGCAGGAGCATTCCGACACCAACTTGAAGTGTCCAGCAAAGTGATTGATCTAGTGCATATAATTCAGCATCAAAAACATCTTTTTGGAACCCAATCCAATCACGGTTTTACAAGCTACTCGGGCTTCCACTTTACCATTTCCCGCCCTAGATCCATAGGACCAGAAAGATAAAGCTGAATTTGCCCGCTCATACTTGGGTGCGTCTTCTACTGCCTCCTATTTGGTGCAAGGAACAGTAATCTGGCCTGGAAATTCCAATAAGCGTACTAAGTCTCGAGGTTCAGTCCCAACAGGTGCGTCAATATTGGTGCCAGTGACTAGCAAATTTGCTAGCAGTTGCCACAGTGTCTTTACGCGACAAACACATGTCAAGCTCATTCCATTCTCTGCATGTTCTCTCGCTTGAGCTCCTCTGCATCATACTCTGAGTGTAAAAGGAAGAATTTGCTGCCCTGGACTGTTCCTGGGAAGCCTTAGGACCCGTTCAGTGTAGCGTTGTTGACAGTTATTCCGTAGGGATATGGCTGATTTTAATCTTGCTTCTTTGTAAGGGTTTAATGAATTCAGATTTACTTGAAAGACAATAACTCAATAGGAATTAATAACTTTTTCCTTGGGAAGAC